CACAGGTTTGGCGGCCCTACTCTTTTTAAAGAATCCCTTCAAGATAAATGTGGGTCCAGGAACATTTTTGGAAATTAAGATTATGCAGTTTGCTTTGCTTCCAGCGTGCTAACTTCTCATTAAATTATTTTTAAATTAAAAAGAATCTGAAAAATAAGAAAATATTAGCAGGCAACGCAGGTGTCCTCATATTTACCTGACAAACAGTAGAGTCCCTTGTGCATATTTATGACACCTTCTGGAGGAAGCACTTCTGACTTCTAAATGTTTCCAGTGCCAGATTAAATTTCTTTCTTATTCTTGAAAACGTGGAGTTTTTATCCTGGGCTGAAGCTATTTTAATTGCTGTTTTTAGACTGAGGTTTGTTTTTTGTTGTATCTGCTGTTTTTCCGTCTAAGCCAAACTGGGAATATTTTTACATTAACAGATGGGCAGATATTGATAAAATAAATAATTAAACAAAATACTTTGAGGAAAAAAAAGATAAAGCATCCAGTTATCTATGACATTTTAATAGATGGCTCTCTCTAATTTCAGTCCATATTAATTTTAGACGTGTTCATTAATTTGTGATTATTTTTAAGTTTAGGTTCATTTATTTGTTTTCTGGTCTGTTTCTATAACAATCTGTGTTGTTTTTAGCTTAAAAACAATGCAAGGGAATACTCTTTTAGTGTACCATGGTTCCTTGCCTCTCCCTCCCTCCGCCCCAAATTTAGTCAGGCTGGTTTTTTGAGCCAAGAAAAATATTACAAAATTTTGAAATTGCATTATCTGAATGATAATTGCCTTCTGATCCATGGCTTAATCTGGGAAATGCTTACTGGAGTTCTTTAAAATATGATCAAGAAAAATCTTTCAGCATCTTTAATGATCTGGACAATTAAAATCCTTTTAATCTAGATACTGTGGAATCCTGACATACTCTGTTTTAGTTAGTTTTGTAGGTTTTTAAAATTTATGTATTTTAGGATGATGTACCCTACTCATTCCCATGAGCTTAATATATCAGGCATTGAATAATCCAGGATTTTTGTCTTTTCAACAAATTTGCAAGGTGGTTTAGACTGAGTCAGAGATATCACACAGGGCTACTGTTTGAAGGTCCCTTGGGCCAAATCCAGCCATCTGGTCATAGCAAAGATAAAGAATTTCCTGGGATCACCATATCACTCCATATGTCTTTTTTTTTTTTTTTTGCAAGAACTGCTGATTTACAGTCTCTTCATATATGCAGTGTAGTTTCCATTCATTTATTTATGATTCCCAAGACAACATGAAAACTTCTAATCATGCTGTTGATGTATTTATCTACCCAACTCCCTAATGATTCTGGGTGGCTTACAAAAAACAACATATATAGAAAAAACACAACCAACCAGAAGAGTACAAACTACCAATAAAAAACCAAAACCATCAGGATTCTGCAACCACCCGGTCCCAATGTCTGGAAGAACAATCAAGTTTTCATTTATTTATGAATGACATTAGGGTGGAAACTATACAAATCTCTGGAGGGATGTCATTCCAGAGGACAGGCACCGCAGCAGAGAAGACACTTCCTGAGTCCCAGGAGGTGACACTGTTTAATCGACAAGACTCCGAGTGCACCCATTCTGCCTCTGTTAACCCTTCAAGGTAGTCCAGACAAGAAACCAAAACCATGAGTACTAACATTGCCTTTGTTGTAGGGTTACAGTAACAGAATCTTGCTTCCAGAGGACTAAGGAGGGTCCCCTCTGAGATGCTTTCCAGGTCCCTTTCCTTCTGTGGATTGAGATACCTTTTGTCTGACCATTGTGTAGGCTGTGGCTCTTCTTCCTCCTGTCTCCTAAGGTCATTTTCCCAGACCATCACAGCCTGATCTCACTGGACTGGCAGAAATAATTGGAAACAAGTGGTCTCTTAGACAGGCAGGCCCTATGCCATGAAGGGCTTTATAGGTGATAACCAGCACCTTGAATTGCACTCAGAAGCCAACTGGTAACCAGTGCAATGCACAAGGGAGGGCTGTAATCTCTCCTTTCCATCGACACCTATTGAAATCAGCCATGGAGAATGGAAGAGAATCACCACAAAACAGTCTCTCCCACTCCCAACTGAAGCTGGTCCCAAAGGATAATATTATCAATGGTATTGAATGCTGTTGAGGGATCAAAGAGCACCATGGTGGACACACACACAATAAAGGAAGGTTGCCACCTGGATGAAAATTGTTCAGGATCATTGGGTGAGGGCACATCACAGCTGTCTTCAAGAAGAGGGGACCACCTCTACCTCAGAGGAACAGATATCATTGCATGGGCCCAACTACAGGACACTTCCTGGGCAGCCTGAACCATCTAGGAGGGACCTGGATCTAGCAAAAGGGTGGCTGAGCTCACACACTGAAGAGCCTTGTATACTTCCTTGAGAGCCACTGAATGAAACTCCAGTTAACCCCACAAGACCCTGTCTCAGACACCTCAACTGGACCTGTCCAACAGGAATCCAACTCTGAGTGATGCAAGTGACTTTATATGATAGATAGCAAGAATATTCCTGACATTTTCCCTGTGGATGGTCTTGTGGCCCATCCCTCCCCAGCAGGGACCTGGTCACTGTAAATGGGGCCACATGCAGCTATCAGCAGTTGTAAGAATGGAGAAATAATATTGGTTCACTGCCTTTCTTTGCCATGGTTAATCCCTTATGTGGATTCATGCTTGGTTAGAGTCACTCTTCATCTTCCTTCAGTGGTGCTCTAGCTTCCCTTCTCATACTTCATCTCCCAGAACTCTTCAGAAAACTAAGGTTCCCCCCAGGATCAGTGCACAGAGGGAGGCTGCATAGGAGAAATATGATCTATGGCCTCAGCCAAACTGTCCACCAGATCTCTAGGGAAGACACCAAGCTCCCTGTAGAACCTATCCAGGTCCATCAGTTTCCTGTTGCTGCCCAATCTAACAGGCCCTATCATATACACCCACACACACATACTCACACAATATCCAATTAATAGAGGCACTGCTTTCCTGATATTAAATACAAAAGGAAGTTGAACCACATGGAAGGAATTTTTAATATAATACCAAGGGAGATGAAAATTGTTCTTATTTTAAAAATGTCCAGGAGTGAAATAGATTCCCTCTGCAGATATCTTGAGAGATTAACAGGACATCTCTTAAGAGCATAACAAGAATGGTGTCCCGTGAAGCTCCATTGCCTGATCTGTGAGATCTCCTATCTTAATTTCCCACAATGCCCTGGAATGATGTGTTGGCAGCATGGTGGGAAACTTTGGATGGCAACTCCCAGAACCAGCCATACTTGCAGCTCAGGGATGATGGCAGCAGCTTGATGATGCTGAATCTGAAGCATGTATTGCACAGAGATGGGTACTTGTATTATATACTTTAGAGCAACATTGCTCTAAGCAATATTGCTCTTGATTAGGATGGCCCTGGCCCTGCTGGCCTTTCAGAAGGCCTTGAAGACCTGGTTATGTGCCCAGGCCTGGGGTCCCAAGTGTGTGAAGGGCCCTGTTTCCTGGTTATGCTAACATCTATGGATTATAGTAATTCTCAGTTGCTATATATATATTTAATTTTTCTTTTTGTATTGTGATTGTAATTGGTTTTTAATTGATTTTATGATTATTCACCACCCAGAGTCACTTGTTTGAGATGGGAGGCCATACAAATTGAATAAATAAATAATAGAATAAATAAAACATTTATTTATGATCATCATTCCATGGTAATGCATGCCCTAACCTGCTACTGTGGAAATAGGAGGACAGGAATGACTGGTTTTTTGTTTGAGTTGGTTTGTTTGATTTTGCCCTCTGATGTTTTTCCAGTTTTCTAAAAATAAGAATGACATGAATCTGCAGTTTCTAAATTTATCTGCCTTCCAGTTTTGGCTGTGCAGTAACAGCAACATCTAGTGGCTACATATGTTAGCATACAATAAAAAGCTAATGATTGAGCTATGCTTTCAGCCAGCCAAGTCATGCTGATGGTATCTTATCTTCTGTGCAGAGAAGAACTCAGCATCTCTGTAGGGAAGTTTTGTTATAGTTTGTTGATTGTATTGATTGTCCACTTTTCCAAACTTAGTGGAAGAACCTCTGTACTCAGTTCCCAATGAAAGTAACTCTCATTGAAACCAATGCAAGTTCAAAAGAAAGTTCATTTGTTGGAAAGTAGGGTATAGCTCTAGAAGCATAGCTGGAACTGAGTCCTGCATGCGCCAAAACGTAGTTTTACCTCACTCCCATTTCACACACACACACACACACACACACACACACACACACACGGTCTTTGAATCCCTCTTGTGAAGATGTTCTCAGGTTCCCACATTGGTACGACCTTGGGCATTCCTGAGAGCCAGATAATGGCCCATCTGCGCTTAACGGTTAACATTCCAACCTTCTCTCCCTTCCTCCCCCTCTACTGTAATGGCAGAAACGAAGCAAGCAAACTAGCGGTATAAGTGGTTGATTGTGAGGATTCTGACACTTAGCCTCACAAATACCCAATTGAATACGCATAATAATTAAAACAATTTAAACTTAGGATTTAATTTAAATGTGCACAGTAAAAAATAAATATTGTAACTAACTTTTAGAAGACTACCGCCAAGGGGGCTAATCTAACTTCCAGGGGGAGATGCTTCTGAAGTATGGGGGCCATGAATGAAAAGCAGCATCTCCTGGCCTCAGTCCAGCACCACCTCATGATAATGGGGCACTACCAGCAAGTTTTCCCAGAGCTGAGATCTTGGATGAGTCGGTTCTGATTCAAGAAGGCATCCTGCAAGGACATAGGTGCAAAGACTTTAACATATTTACAGTTTAGAACCAGCACTTTGAATTGCACTGAGAAACTTGGCAGCCACTGCAGGGTCTGCAACAGAAGTGTACTTATGCTCATGTCTAGGGGTGACAGCCAGCAAGGGGGTCACTGCATTCTGAAGTGTTGCTTCTGAGCAATCTTCAAAGGTAGCCCCATGTAAAGTGCCTTGCGGTAGTAGTCCAGACAAGTGATGATAAAGGTTTGAGTCACTGTCAGAGTGAGAGAAAACTGACTGTTCTCTTCAGTCAGGCCTGGGGTGGTGATGGACAGTTGAGTATCATTTGCATATTGATTCCTCGCCCAGATCTGACAAATGACTCTTAACTAGCAGCAGCTTATAAATGTTAAAAAGCAGAAGAGAGGACCAAATACACTGAATGTATATGTTTTTTTGGTAAAATGAACTAAATTATAGAGAAAACCAACTAGCCTTGGTTCCTGGGAGAGAAGGAACATTCTTTATAAACCTGCTTCTCAAAAAGTATGACTGACATTCTTGTTTAAGAAGATGTCTGTTTGCTTTTTAAAAGATGAACCATTCTTTAGAATGTTTAGGTGATACAGAATGTTTTTCTTTCTTTAATGGGCTGCCTCTAAGCCCATTTTTCTGATTTAAAAAATGTGCTGCTCAGTACAGAATCTTTATAGATCCCTAAGATGATGATGTAGGCTTTAATTCAGAACACATTTAAATAGGAATGTGTTGATCAATGTCCATTAGCAATAATACTTAAATGCAGTGTACATACACAGAGTTAGCTGGGCCTTGAATACAGAACATTGGGGCAAAATGATGGTGTGATGTGTTTGGATTTCATTTACATTGTCTAGGTGCTGTTCTAGTTGGGGTTTTTTTGGCTGATATTCTACTACATTAGTATTATTTCTTGCTAGAGAGCTCACTGTATTTATGACTGGCTTTGCAAGATTTTTAATTACTTTTAATTACCATTGTTTGCTATTACAGTGATTCCATATAGAACAGTGATTATCCCCATTAAAAAGCTAAGCAACGTAATCACTACATCAAACCCTTGGATTTGTGTTTCTGGAGAACTGGGTGATACTGGCATTATGCAGATTCCAAAGAACTTGTTAGAAATGACATTTGAGGTGAGTTCAGTATCCTGTACTTCCATTCTTGCTATGGCAAGTGTTAGGTTTTGAGTGTCTGCCAGGATGTGCTTGTTTAAAAACCTTGTGTAAACATTTGAACGTAACACAACCTTGCTTTCTAAAACATACACAAATAAGTGTAGCACAACACTGTTGGTAGTGAAAGAAACATTCTTGCTGTTTGGTAGACCCATGCTACTCTCTGCTCTCACGGGCAACAGGGAAATTTTTATTCTGTCATGGTTTTCCTTTCTTAAAGACTTGGCAGTAAAGTCAGTTAAAAAATCCTTCTTTTTTCAGTTGTTCATAACATGACATTCTGGTGTTGTTTTGTTTCCAGAGTGGTGTTAATGACATAAATCAAATTCATAAGAGCCTGAATATTATTGTCAGTTAATGGAACAAATAAAGGAAATTATTAAGGGTGGTCATAGAACTTTTTCTCATAGCCTTGACAATAATTTGTCCTGCCATGTCAGTGTATATGGTACAACAGCTGGAATTCTATGAGAATGTGGCATATTTTTCTCTTATGGCTGCTGAGAGTGGGGTAAATGTGACAGGTCCCCAATCTGCTGCATTTTATTACATCAGGCATCCTGAAAGGATGTAGCCTTGTTTAAGGAAACTGTATTTAGCCTATGGTTCTCTCCCCCCCCCCCCGCATTTGAATTTATGAGGCAATTCAGCTGAGATATGACAGAAAACTTTCAAATTGCTTCAAACATAATGCTTTTTGAAGGATGATTTCACACATTTAGCTGTTAGTCAGCAAAACTATTCAAGTGTGCATGTCCATCATTTAGTATTATATTTGTTTACTATGCGTGGATGACTAATGGCCCTTTGTATGAATTAACTGCATTGTGCTGGAAGTGACATTTGCTGAAACATACCTTCTGTCTGTCTCACTGGATTTCAGTGATCCATAGAGTCAACAAAGAATGGATGCATGTGTGAACTAGACCACGGTTTCTTTGGCTCCAGCTGTTCGCTCAGACCATTCATTTGTAGTACACACACAGAAACTTCAGAACCCAGCCTTATTTGCCTTTTTAAGCAAAAAAAAGGGGATGGGTGATTTTGCTGGTTGTGTATATCAGAAGTAAAATTCAGGTTTAAATGTTCCATTTTCTTTTTACAGTGTCAAAACCTGGGGAAGCTAACAACTGTTCAGATAGGACATGACAACTCGGGACTATTAGCCAAGTGGCTGGTGGATTGTGTCATGGTCAGGAATGAAATCACTGGACATACTTATAAGTAAGTATGGAAAACACAATTAAACCATTTGTAAAAGGCCATGGAGATTCAACTTCATTTTCATGTACTTGCAGGGTCACATAGGCTGAACATTATTATTTTCATGTATTGCTTTTGATTAGCAGATTATCCTTGCAGATTAATACTGCTATTTAGACTAATATTTGAAGAAATGTACTATTCTGCTTGCAATACTAACTTGAAAAATAATTTTGGAACAGTTTTTTTTAATACGAGATGTTAGCAACCATTGTTTAAAACAGGTTGCTCTGAAGCTGCAACATTTTAATTTTTTTATTGATTAGTTTTAATTTTTGCCAGATTGTAATCTCAAAGTAGGTTCTAATTGTTCAAAGAGAAAATAATTATTTGTCCAAACTGTCAGTAATTTATAAGAAATCTGCATGTTTTCAAGCAGAAAGATACTTTTCTTAATAATAGATCCAAAAAAAGATAAAACACGACCACCAAGCATTTGTCTGTCTAATAGAAAGTCAAAATTTGAACCAAGCTAGACCATATCTGACAAGAAAATTGATCTCTGTAAATCAGATTTACTCTCTTTAGATACATTATATTGTTTATCTTGATTATATTACAGGTATAAAAGTTGAAGAGCGTTCTCTGTTCTGAAATTAAAAGAAAAAAAGTTTTATCTTTGTAGGAACATTGTGTTTTGGGGGGGAAAAGTGAACATTCTCAGGAAACACAACATAGCTACAAAAATACTTCAGACTCTATGTTGCTTAGCCAAAAACCAGTGCAATCCCATGTCCGTTATACCATACAGCACAATTATCTATTTATACAATACTCAAACAATTCTAGGTAGTCAGTTAATGTGCAGGAGAGTTGATACTGCAAATAATTTCTCCCCTCTGGCTGTATGAATCTTCATGGCAAAGATATGTTGATTCTGCAGTGATCTCAGACTTAACGGGATGACCAGAAACTGAAAATGTGACATCTATCCCATAGGCAAGATACTGTGAAGTTATCAGGTCTTGACAAGAACCCAGAACTTAATTGCATCGTCTTCTCCTTCCTTCAGGTTTCCTTGTGGAAGATGGTTGGGAAAAGGTGTTGATGATGGAAGCCTGGAACGGATACTTATTGGAGAGTTACTACTGTCATCATCAGAGGAAGATTTGGGAAAACAGTGCCGGACCCCACCTCAACAGAAATCCCCAACTATTGCTCGGAGATTGAGTATCACTTCCCTCACAGGGAAGAATATAAGTATGACCAGCTACTTCCAGTGATAGCTTCTTGCAGGGATATCAGGCATACAGGATGGCTATTGGGGAAAATATGACCTTGCCAATGAAAGAGAAATCTAGAAGGCTAGTGGACTTGGTGCTACAGATACTAATTTTCCCACATGTAATGATCCTGCTGGGTCAGGCCAAAGTCCTATTAATTCAGAATCCTGTTACTGTACCAGTACAGTTTTAACTTGCATTGAACAAGTTAAATCCGGGTGCCTTTAACACATTCATGCTCTAGATGTTTCAAATCTTCAGTGGCATCTCACACATGGCAGCCAGAATCTGATGATATTTAGGAATTGAGGTTTCAAAGATTTTTGAAACAGGTATCTGAGATTCTTCTGCTGTTGATCCATGCTTTAATATAAAATTAGCCCTAATGAGCCAGACCAAAAATTTCTGCAGGCTGGACTAGTCCCATTTCCTGAAATATATATTTTGCTATTATTTTAGTGTTACAATATCACTAATATTGTATATTATTATCAATATCAATATCAAAGCATTGAACTTTTTAAAAAAAATTGAGGACCACTTTTTAAAGAAAAGCTACCCAAAAGTAATTACATTTCTTTGAGAAGCTCACAAGCATGACTGCAGTAACCTCTCCCATTGCTGTTTCCCAATGATTGGCATTCAGGTATTTTACTCTCTGATAACAGACATCACAACTGGTGGCTATGGATCATCTTGTGCTCCATAAATACATCTTGTCTCCATTTAAAATTGTCCAAGTTGTCTGCATAGGGGTCTGCTTATTTAACAGTAATAATGAAAAAAAAAATCAAAATATGCAGGATGCAGACCTTGGTCTTTCATTCTAGCCTCATGACATTTGCTGCAAGACCATAAATGACATATTTTGTGCCACGATTGTCATTTCCCCTCCATGAATACCTACAGTATGGTTGGCTGGCACTGCATCTCATAGTAGTGGACTCTGCCTATGTGGCCTTTCAGGATCTCCCTGCTGCTATGCTTGAAGTGCTAAATTTAAAGACACTTCTCTGCAAAATTGGAGCTTTTGTATACCTGAGAGGGAGAGGCAATACAATGCTGTGTTAAAGTGCTGGACTACAGTGAGACCCTGGTTTGAAATTTGGTTTAAGTCAGGCCTGGAAGTTCATGAGATGATTTTTGGTCAGTCAGTCATCTCCCTTCCTCACCCACTCCCCAACCTACATCACAGATTTGTTGTGGAAATAACGTTGGAGGAGAGAGTACTATGTACACCACGGTTTGCTCCTGAAGCAATATAAATCTAATGAATAAATCATTTATTTTATTTCTTTCAGAACCTAATGCAGGACAGATCCAAGAAGGCATAGGGGAAGCTGTGAACAATATTGTGAAACATTTCCATAAGCCTGAAAAAGAGGTAGTCTCTTAAACATTTAACTTAAAGAACACTTTAGTTGTTGATGGAGTAATCGCATGTTTTGTACAGGAGGGGCAGGCTGATATTTATTTTATATCGCATAAAAGTGTCTTGCTTCAGATTCATCATGCTGACAAATCATGACGTCCATTATCTCCTTTTATTAATGGCTTATTAGTCATAGCCTGTTAAATAATAGCGATCTGAAGCATACTTCAGACATCTCCATGCACGTAGCACACCTCCCATGTGTGTATAGCTGAAACTGGGTGGCTAAAAGTATGAATGGAGATATGAAAAGTATGAAATTTGCCTAAACTAGAACGGTCTCCAAGGTTCACAAGTCGTCCTGACTTTCAGCTCCAGGTTCCTTTTGTATTCTGAGGAGCTTAAAAACAATCATAATGCTCTTTAAAGTCCCTAAACATCAACCAGCTGGGTCTGTCACACACCCCAAGTTTTGGACACTTTGATATAGTGGCCCTTAAACCAATAGAAGATGTGTGCTCCTAGTGTAAGGAGTTTCTGGTTCCATTGAAATGTGAAATAGCAGCGTTTTAAAACAAAGCTTGTGCCATCTTGCAAATGAATTCAGTTTTTCAGGGGCATCTCAGGAGGGGTGATCAAAACAGTTAAGATGACAGCTGGGGCCATGCAACTAAAGCCCTGTCTTTTTTTTACATGCATCACATATCCAATTTGGAATTAATTACACAGTGCCAGTAAGGCCTCCCTGACCTACCTCCTCAGTTCTGTTCCCCAAGGAAGGTCATTCTTGGAGACACTCTACTTAGATTTCAGAATGAAAACGAACAAGCACTTCTCAGGCCTTTATCATCTCCCCTGCACCACAAAAAAATAGTTTTAAACGATACATAAAATGGTTAAGGCGGGCAAGGGAATGGTCTATAACTGGAAATACACCAAATCAAGAATATACAGATATGTGAAAAAGTGGAGAAACTTATCAAAAAATAGGTAGCTGTTCTGTTGCACAAGTCTGTAAAAATAATAAAGAATAAAGAAATAAATCACAGCAAATAAAGGAAGGAAGGAAGGAAGGAAGGAAGGAAGGAAGGAAGGAAGGAAGGAAGGAAGGAAGGAGAAAGAAAGAAAGAAAGAAAGAAAG